AACCATTCATGGTTGATGATTAAGTCATTTCATAAGTCTGCATTTGTAGTGCAAGTTTTGTACATACATTTGCGGTATCTCCTTCTTGTGTTTTTGATGTGAATGTGAAAGAGAGTCCTTTTGATGCAGTTTATTTTGTCTGTGAATGAAAGCGGTCGAGACCACGTCACGAGAAGATTATTCCTCGGACCGTACGCTCCTTGCATTTTGCAAGGCATCTTAATTCATTGCATTGTGCGGTCTTGAATTTTTAGTTCTTTGTTACGCGAGTGTCGTTTGATTCTTTTATAGGTCTTTGTAGAGAAAAAGCCGCTTTCCCTTTTAGTTTGATTTAGCTCAGGCCATAAAGAGCTAGTGAGCGCCGGTACATGGTATCTCCCCCTGTGAAAAGTACAGTCTCCAGCCGAGGTACATTATCGTTTTGATTTTGTACTTGAGGTGAGTCAGCTATTGCTCCCTCACTGTATTTAGTAGCTATGAGATTACCTTCTCTGAAGTGTGAAACACACTGGATTAGGTAAGTACATGGCACCGTAGTTTTCTTTTAAGTTGTCAGAGCTAGCTGGACTGATTTAGCCTTGCAGTAGAAAAAGAGTATGCGACATACGCAATCAGCTAGAAGTGGACATGAATCTTGTGCCTGCTGAAAAGTAGAGCCTACCTGTACAGGGTTCCACTCCAACAGCTGATATAAATATAGTGTGTCCATGCTTGACTGCTTCAAGGCTCAAAGAGCAAGAGGATAAGACTCTGCGCATAAAAGACACTAGCGGTCTGCACCTCTACCGTGTACGCCCTAGTCACTCTTTCACCCCCCACCCCCCCCTGAATGATTGTTGGAACCCTGTCTGCTTCAAAAACGTGCAAATTCACGGGGGCCCGTACGGACGTGACACCAAAAACAAGGCTAGACTTGAAACAACCTGCATCAACAGATTGCCCTCAGCATCCTGGTCCAACTGGATTTCCCAGAGCCAGGCTGACTTCGGCTGCCTACACCGCGCGGCAGCTCGGGAGGGGCCTCTTCAGCTGCATGGAGCAATCTTCGGACACGGCATCAGGCCTGCGAAGGCCGTATACCCCGGCATCATCCGTTCATTTTTGAGCTGGACGTGTTCCAAATGGTTGGAAGGTTTTCAGTAAAAGTATATAATGTCACTATAATTACAACAGTATAGTAAAAGAGTAGGCGGGTGAGAAACCAAAAAAGGTGTGCAGTGCAGCACATGCATAGGCGTTTCAATCCAAACTCCCGTCTCATGCACTTCTTCAGCTCAAACGCACGGACACAGGTTCAGGCGGCTCTACGGTGTGCTTTGTCTTACCCCGTCAAAGCTCTAGTTACTAGTTGCATGGTAGTGGACGCTCTTTTTTTCTACATCCCATCCTAGTCCATCCTAGTCCATCCTATTCCCATCATTTCCGCATCGAAACCAAAACCCAAACCGCCCAAACCGTCCAATGCGCCTGGTGCAGAGATCCAAGGGTCCCAATTTGGTCGTGGGCAGCGACCAAACGGACTGCCACAAGTCCGAGCCCACACGCCCCCGCCGGCAAATGGCTTCGGCCACCTCGCGCGAGCCGCCGGGGCGCGCGGGTCGGGGGGGCATGACAGCGAAGAAGGAGCGGGGATCACCACTTGATCATCAAGGATCAGGAACTTCCAGGGAGGTTCTCCAATGTCCACCATTGTGGTCCACCCCTGTGGTGGGGGTCTTTTCCTGCACGCGAAGTGAGAGCAGCCTCCAATCCACGGTGGATGCGACGGACATAAAGGGCGATGGGCAGCTGCAGGGTGGTGGTCCTCGGTGCTTCCATGGAATCAACCTAAGGTCCTAGCCCCCCAGAAACGGGCACTGAGAGGAAGTTCTCAATGGATTTGCTCCCAAATCAGGACGACAAACAGGGGCCCAAATTCCAAATCTTGCAATGTAATTGGGGTAAACACCAAAAACTCAATTGCTATTGTAGAGTGGATGTTCATGCTGTAATAAGTACGTCTATATGTTTATCTCCTGTGAATAAACATATTGTGTTTATCCCCTGGGAAGTTTAATCAAACCTTTGGGGTGCAAGTTGGACGAAGCAACCCAAGATGTTCAATGCTCAAGTCACCCAAGATGGAGGGCTGAACATGCTGAACTATAGATCTGCGATGGACTTTCGGGAATTCAACCAAAACCAACCAAATGTCAACAAAACACCTTGAATTCAGCAACAAACACACGTAAAACACATTTGATTTATATATATATATTTATGGTTTTCTCTTTCTCCGGTCCGAGGCACGTGGAGACCTCCTCCCGGTCATCCATGGAGACCAGGTCCACCGACCGGAGGCACCGCACCTGCGTCGGTGGACGACGGACGGCCGGTGGCCTCTAAACATGTGGGGAAAAAAAGTGGCATTCTCTGCATTTATATACACAGACAAAGCGAAAAACCCGATGTTAGGTCTCGAATTTGCTCGTTGTGGGAATCCGACTTTGTTCAAGTCGCAGCGCTGGTGACGTGTTGGAGGGTGCTGGTATAAGTTGTTTGGTTTACTTTTGTGGAGATGACATGTGTACAAGCCATAGTATTTGGGCCTATATGTCGAGTAGATTTGGGTGCGTGATTGGGAGCAACCCTGCTTTCGCTGCCTCGTCCCCTGCTCCAATGAGCTTTCGGATGACTCCAAGGCATTGCTGAATGATGGCCTGCGCCCCGCAAACACACAGGAGTGCCAAAACACATTCTGTGACCACCTGCGTTCTCCAAGTTACACATGGTAAGAAAACCATGTCAAGCAGTTTCCTGTTTCCCTCACTTTGGATGGATTTCTCGTGCATCGGCCACACGTGCTTCACCTCATCGGCGGTGCCAGGAGAGTCCCCACCTCTCCCTCCTTGGTAGATCCCACTTCCTTCAAATACACCACCAGCGTCGCCTCGGCGAGAAACCCGAGGCGACGCTGACAGCGCGCGTGGCGTGAGACGAGGATCTCATTCATCCAAGCAGCCTCGACCACCTCTCGTGGAAGGATGCCTCAGCAACCGCCAGCCGCCGAGTGCCGAGAATCCCGCGTTTTGGAGTTCCAAAAGATTCAAACCGGTATAGGACTCCGGACTCCTATATATATATATAGATGAAACCTTTGGGCATGAGTGAACCTCCAAAACTTGGCAAGCACGTGCTTTTTGCACATGATCACATGCTGTGCCGTCATTTCAGCCAGTCGCATATTTCCTTCAATCTCCTCCAATGAATCTTCCCCAGCATGCATCAAACACAAGTCCAGAACACCCCCAGGTAGTAGAATACAGCACAAGTGTTTATCCACTGGCTGCCAAAAGACTTTTCGTGATTTTCCCCAAAGTGGGCACCCCATGATCCCAAATTGGAGGCCGCTCTGTAGCCTGCTCCGGGCCGAGTGGCAAATCTGTTGCCCTGCAGGCTCGAAAAGCACCTGCGCTCTTTTTTCGGGACCAACCAGTTGCCAGTTGAATGGATTCATGAGACTTCCAAATATCGTCAGGGTGACCAGTGGTGAACATGGTGATCCACATCACCACTCTCCTCACTTTCGGCTGGCAATAAGGTGTCTGGGCATGTCTCGGCATTGTCTCTCTTAGGAAAACCACAACCTCGGGATTGCCACTCCCCTTCTAATGGATTCTTCATGTTTTTTTGATGAGATCTCTCCCATTCTCGGGCGTTGGGAGTGAAGGCATCCGCACATCAATGGTATGAAAATGCCCATACACTCCGTGTATGGAATATATGCCTACATTGACCCCCCAAACCACCCAATGTAGACATATATATATTATATGATCATATAATATATGGCATACATGGAGCGTCTGGGATGTATGAAAGCTTCAGAAGCTGTGACTTTGGGGAGCCTTCGTAGTGCATGCGAGTGCCAAATCAACCTCACGCCTAGGTCATAAACAGATTTGTCCCCTTCCGACTTCCATCGCAAAAAGCTCTCAAACATGTGTGTGTGACACCTGGGAGTCACAGGGGTTCTTTTGAATTGGTTTTGACGGTCTACAGTACCCCACCAGGCAGTCCCCCCCTACCAGCTTCATGACTGCATGGTGCCTTCATGCTCCCCACGATGACGCTGTTGGGGAGCGTAAAGCTCGCCAAAGGCTCCGGCACTTGCGCCTGCAGGTCACTGAAATTGAACTAGTGGGTAGTAAAGGGTGTCCAATGGACTACCCCACACTACCTATAAGCTTCCATTGGGCACCCCTTGGATGGTCCAGGTATATAGGGTGGGATGTAAAACCCCAGCTCCTTTGCGGTAAAACCCATGAAAACGCCGGTATCAAACATGCCTTTCTTTCGAACATGAGACACCCGTGACCCGAGAACCTGGTGGTGGAGGGCGCCCTGGGGCCGCCCCCTGTGTTTTGCGACGCCGATGAAGGACCAACCGGGTCTCAACCTGATTGTACCGGCCCCCCCCTTCCGTTAGCCAACGTCCCGTTTTCAAGCATGTTTTCATGCTGGTCCCGTATGCTTCTTCTTTTGTCTGCGCCAACCATTTACACGTGCAGGGCCTTGTCAACAGCTGCCAACATCCTGCTGGCTGGCTTGTCATCTAGAATGTCCTGGCTCGTTGTTCACATCGTCGGGCGTCTCGGGAATCACCCGAATTCCACCGGTCTTCCCACACGTCGTCGGCTCCTCGTGCGACATTCAACCTAATGTCAAGGGGTGTAACGTAGGTCAGCTTCTTTTATCGATACTGTGAAATCAACCGACGGAACCGACATGAACCGACTATGTCATTTGCTAGCATCATAGACTGTTCCGACTATGTCATGAACTGGTATAGATACTAATAGGATGATGTTCCTTTCGCACGCCAGTAAGCCCTCGCGACCGCTAGCGCTCAAGCAACATCATCCTGTGATGTTCAGGGGGTGTCCTTCTCAAACTGCTCCCGCTGCTCGATCTCTGCAATCGCCATCCATTCGGTATTCCTGTTCAAATCTCTTCAGGCTGGCGACCATTGGTGATTGGATCAGTCGGTTGGCCTTCACTCGGAAAGCTGGCGTCCCGTCCCACATCGAATGTTCCATGAGGTATCGCGGGTCTGACCGGAAAGCTGGCAACACATCGAATAACATGTTTGAGAACACATGGGACTAGTCGGACTTGAATGCAAAGTCCGGCACGGCCAAGCAACGAACAGTACTGAGGATCCACTTCGACATCCACCCTTTTCGCCTCAGTCGCTGCTGTTCGATTGAGTTGATTTCAAGGGTGACTATGCCAAGCAGTGGATCCAATTGGACGAATGGCTTAGGGCTTGGATATCCGTAGGAACACCCCAAAAAATCTGAAGGAAATGCTCGGCACACCAGGCGGTACAGATCATGACAGGTCGACATCTCATCTCCCCTTTTGCCACTCAACTCATCAGAAAAACAACAAAAAGACAAATTTAAGGTCTGGAAATGGCAGTACCTGTTTTATATTTTTTCTTTTTTCCCGAATGCGTAGCGAAGGGTTCTCGTTTAACTCTTGGGGGTCTGGGGGTAGAGTCTTGTTCGTGATCCGTTGCTTCTATGTTCGCAACCGTCCGCAACCGTCCGCAACCGTCCGCAACCGTTCGCAACCGTTCGCAACCGTTCGCAACCGTTCGCAGTAGGACGCTAAGGCGCTGCCATTGGGGGAAGCTTTTGCAAGTGACTTTTCATGGATGTGTCACGTGTCAGTTTGCGACGCTATTCCATTGTGATTTGCATGAAAATGACATGTCGCGCAAGAAGCGTGATGCATCTCGCTGCACAGGCGCAGCGTTTTGTGAGATCCTCAGTTTGCTACGCAGTTCCATTGGGATTAGCATTTGGAGAGTCGTGTTTTTGGGGTGTTGGATGTGGCCGTGCCATTGGGATTTGCCTTTCAGGGTGTGGCATCGAAGCTCTGTTTTCGTGACAAGTCTCAGCTGAAATGGCGATTTTGGTGGATGGGAGTGTGCTCAGAACGGATCGAAATCATTCCAAACGTGTGGTGTGGTGCAAATTTTGTTGAAGCTCACATGAGATGATATTGTCACTTGTCGTGGGCAGGCGCAGTACTTTGTGCGGGTTTTGAGGCATGGAAGTGTGATTTTCGTGGCAGGTGCAGGGAATCGTGAGGTTGCGAGGTGTGACGGAGGTGACATTGCGTGGCAGGCGCAGTACTTTGTGCGCGTTAGACGTGTGGACGCGGAAAGATGCGTGGCAGGCGCAGGGAATCGTGAGGTTGTGAGTTGTGGTAGAGGTGACTGTCGTTGTCTCATTGGGATTGGCGTGTGAGCGGGTGTTGCTTGGAGGGGCTGGAATCACGAAACTGCTTGGCAGGGCTGCGTGATGTGTGTGCTCCGATGGTTGTTTCCGCTTGACTTTTGGAGGAAGTCTCGTACGAAACGCTCGTTTTGGAGACTTTGACACGTGAGTTTTTGAGGAAGTCTCGTACGAAACGCTCGTTTTGGAGAGTTGACGCGTGACTTTTGGAGGAAGTCTCGTACGAAACGCTCGTTTTGGAGACTTGACGTGTGACTTTTGGAGGAGGTCTCGCACGAAACGCTCCGTTTTGGAGACTTGACGCGTGACTTTAGGAGGAAGTCTCGTACGAAACGCTCGTCTTGCAGCCTCGAAGCGTGACTTTTGGAGGAAGTCTCGTACGAAACGCTCGCGTGACTGCTTCTAGTGTGTGGGCAGACCGTGTCGCGACACGAGTGTCCCACAAGAGTGTCCCACAAGAGTGTTCCACAAGAGTGTCCCGCAACCGTGTCCCACAAGAGTGTCTCACAAGAGTGTCCCTTAAGAGTGTCCCACAAGAGTGTCCTATAAGAGTGCCTCACAAGAGTGTCCTACAAGAGTGTCCCACAAGAGTTTCCTACAAGAGTGTCACACAAGAGTGTCCCACAAGAGTGTCCCATAAGAGTGAAGAGTGTCCTACAAGAGTGTCCTACAAGAGTGTCCCACAAGAGTGTCCTGTAAGAGTGACCCACAAGAGTGTCCTACAAGAGTGTGTCACAAGACTGTCCCACAAGAATGTCCGACAAGACTGTCCCATAAGAGTGACCCACAAGAGTGCTTTTGAGAGTGTCCCACAAAGAGTGTCCTACAAGAGTGTCGTGTAAGAGTGACCCACAAGAGTGTCCTACAAGAGTGTCTCGCAAGAGAGTGTCCCATAAGAGTGACACACAAGAGCGCCCCACAAGAGTGTCCCAGAAGAGTGTCCCACAAGAGTGCCCCGTAAGAGTGGCCCACAAGAGTGTCCTACAAGAGTGTCCCACAAGAGTGTCCTACAAGAGTGTCCCGCAAGAGTGTCCTACAAGAGTGTCCCAAAACAGTCCCCCGCAAGAGTTTCCTACAAGAGTGTCCTACAAGAGTGTCCCACAAGAGTGTCCCAGAAGAGTGTCCCACAAGAGTGTCCTACAAGAGTGTCCCAAAACAGTGCCCCGCAAGAGTTTCCTACAAGAGTGACCCACAAGAGTGTCCTACAAGAGTGTCCCACAAGAGTTTTCCACAACAGTGGCCTATACGAGTGTCCCACAAGAGTGTCCTGCAAGAGTGTCCCACAAGAGTTTCCTACAAGAGTGACCCACAAGAGTGTCTCACAAGAGTGTCCCACAAGAGTGTCCTACAAGAGTGTCCCACAAGAGTGTCCTACAAGAGTGTCCCACAATAGTGTCTCACAAGAGTGTCCCACAAGAGTTTCCTACAAGAGTGTCCCACAAGAGTGTCCCACAAGAGTTTCCTACAAGAGTGTCCCACAAGAGTTTCGTACAAGAGTGTCCCACAGAATTGTCCCACAAGAGTGTCGCGCAACAGTGTCCCGCAAGAGTGTCTCACAAGAGTGTCCCTTAAGAGTGCCCCACAAGAGTGTCCTGCAACAGTGTCCCACAAGAGTGTCCTACAAGAGTGTCCCACAAGAGTGTCCTACAAGAGTGTCCCACAAGAGTGCCCCACAAGAGTATCCCACAAGAGTGTCCTACAGGAGTGTCCCACAAGAGTGTCCCACAAGAGTTTCCTACAAGAGTGACCCACAAGAGTGCCCCACAAGAGTGTCCTACAAGAGTGTCATTTGGACATATGTAGCTTTTCGAACGTGTTTGCATTCGGGTTCGTGGGCTCCATCTTGTTATTTTTTTAAATATTCTTATATATATAGTTATATTCAAACATCTCATTTCGAAACCATATCAAATGGCAGCTTCTCTACAATTGGACTTTCTTCTGCGCGTGCACCGGTGCAGGATTGAACAGGAGTGCTCCAAGTTGTCACGCACACACAGATATACAATATAATGATATATATATATATATATACCCAGATCTTCCAACTATGCCAAATTTCTGCCTGTTCGTCCATAAAACCAGCCCAAAGGCAGACATGTGGCATAGTTGGAAGATCTTATTGCCTACCTTCCGGATGTTTTCCCGAGGGGGACGGTCCATTCAGTGGCCATGTCCGGATCCAGCGCAGGTGCCAACCTTCGGTGCGAACGAAGGGGCCCGCTCCACTCGGTCCAGGAGCACGATGCCCATGCGGAAGTCCTTGGACTCCTGGGACTTGGGACGGGTCCGGCTGGGACGCCCTGAGATGGTCTGGACTCTCGACATCACCAATGGTGGGAGGAGCTGAGGCGTGGTGTCGCATAGAGGTCGGGAAGACATGAAGACCCCTGCATCAAATCTAGAATACATTTAGATATATACCAGTAGCAGGATCTGCACAGGGGGGGTCATTCTATATGAATTGGGATGTAATTGTATTATTAAGAAGACACCGGTATAATTATTAAGTTGGTGGATGACCTCTCAAATTGCAGTCCTGACCCTGGATTCGGGTCCCTGGATTCCCTGGACGCCTGAGCTGCACGTAGCCCGGAGACCAGCTGGATCTGCTCTTTCTTTCGCAGCGCTCGCCTGAGGTGGGATCTGCACCCAACCGAAACAGGGCGCAACTGCCTGGGAACCCAAAGAACCAAATATAGAATGGTTGGAACCCAATGTGGCAATTGAGATTCTTTACATAGGAAATGGCTGGGACTGGGGGGAAAACTTATATTTCTTGCTTGGATTTCGTGTTTCTCCAGCTCAGTAGCAATCTGGCAAAGCCGTGGCTGGTCTCCATCTCTGGCAGTGGCGGTGGTTCCACGGCCAACTTCATGGTGTCGTGCATCAAATGAAGTTCCTGGGCTGCAAGACAGGACACCTTTTCCAAGGATTCAAAAAAGGAAGCCTTGGAGACTTTGAGTGGCTCCCTCTCTCTCTCTCTATCTCTCTCTGCTTCGTGGCTCTGCCTGTGTTAACGCTTCGGCCACTCTGGCGGACGGCGGGGTTTAGAAGGTCGCCCTAATGATGTCACTCTCTCTCTCTCTCTCCCTACCATGTCTTATATATATAATTCATTATCTATCATTATGTCATGACCCTGGGGCATGTCATGGGTCCCAATGGCCAACATGCAAGAAACTGCTTCCAACTACTGCAAACTGCCAAAGCCTCTCCAATACTATGTCGTTGAAGCCAGGATGAAACACAGCAAGGCCAGGTTACACTTTTCTAGCACTTGTCTTTTCCATTCTTTTCCAATACTATTCCACCGCTTTCGAAGAAATTGCAGCCTTCAATGGCAGCACAACCAGCACAACCTACCCAGAAACCCCCCCAAAGTACCGACAACTACCCAAAAAATGACAACAACAACAACGCGCACACACACAACTACCAAAACTCACCAAAACTGCCCTTTGGGAAAGCATTTGCTCGCCCCTGCCCAACGGGAAACCAATTGCTAGATTTCAGGTATAGGTAATATGCAAGTTGAAGGAAGTATGAGTTTCATGTGTCACTGAAGGAAATGGGTAGGGAAATGGTGAGTCAGGTGGATCCTGGCAGGTTGTTCTACCATCTGCCGCGATGAGTTGCGGTGATGAGTTGCCGTTTTCGACGCCCTGTTCTTAGCGACACTTCATGATCCACATGTGTTTCCGCAAGCTCTCAGAAAGATCCTGGGCTGCACCATCTCCACAATCATGCGATGTTCGGGTCATCCCGCATGGCCCCACCCCACCGACCCCCAACCGGTCCGTGGGGCGGATCGGTCCGTGGCTGCTTGGATCTTGTTGCGCTTGGTGTGGAGCGTCTCGATGAGCCCGTGCGCCTTGTTCACCAAGGGGTGGTCCTTGGAAAAAAAACTGCTGCGACTTG